ATTATATTAAAGGAACTCAACTACAAAGTCTGATTAATTATATTAAAGGAACTCCACTGAGGTCGAAAAGCATAAAAATTTCTTACATAAATCAGCTGGGCCACTAAAAACAGAAAGATGTGCAAAAGATAATAAGTAATAGAAAGAGCACCGAAACACGAGGCTATCTGATTTGTACGAGGGGGCGTAGCCCCCCGAGTATTAATCAGATTGCCGAGTGTTTTGGTGTTCTTTCTCTTTTGTATCATAGTCAAACATAAAAGCACGTTCCCTGTTGTCATAATATGAAACCCCGGCAAAAATGAACCAATGAACGAACATCTGAATATGACATTTCTGTCGCTTTCCCTTTCTCTGCCGTCACAATATGTAAACCCCAGCAAAAATGAGCCAATCAATGGGCATGCTCTGGAGTGCGGGTAACTAATACCCGCACTCCAGTTAACGCACTGTGCATGTATATGTATACGATTTAACCCTGACACATTTTCAATAGAAAGGTCTCCAAACTATGATACAAGAATAAGAAATAAACTGAAAATTAAATATTTTTGTGCTAGCCTGATTTTTTCAATTTTGTGTCTTTTTCTTTTTGGGTTATTATCCTGGAAAAACAGAGTGAGCAAAATTAATGATCTGAAATTTTGCAGACAAGTTATTGTTTAACACTTTCATCAAATGGAAAATTAATCTCGAAAAATTACGTCCAGTCCTGTTATGTCAAAAAAACTTATGTCGAGTCCCTTTAAATTTTGTAAATTGGGCTTTACTTATTATGTGCCTCCCTACTAAGGCCACCAGTTACTATGTCATTTGCTTATTTAAGAGACCCAAACCTTAACGAAAAGTATATTCAGCACTATGATATATCATTGACTTTTCCTCTAAATTGCAAATAGTGCTATAAAGCTAGCAAGAAACCAGTATAAACAAGCATTTGATAGTATTGCGGGCAATACAGTAGTCCCCTACCGGTCCCTCAAAAAGTTCTTTAATTGTCATACACTCCTGTGTATTGCCATTTATAATGAATTTGAGGATGAAGTCTGTATTTGAAAATATCAACCACAAAACATAATAAAATAAGTTTGTCTATATCACAGTAATGTGTTAAGTTTCCATGCTTAGTAAGGAAATTATGTTTATACAACCTTGTCATATTATTACGATGTGGGATTTTAAAGTAAATCCTATAAGGAATGAAGAAGTTGGAGTGAAAATACCAGTTTCTCGAAAAAAATCTAAGTTCAAGGGGGACATAATTCTGGAAATAGTCTTGCTAGAGTATTTAACCTTCTCAAAAATGTCGAGTGATAATAAGAAACATATATATGAAGTTTGAAGTAGATACATTAGGAAATAAAGAAGTTATTTAAAAAAGACAACATTTTTTCCCCTAAAAAATCTAAGTTCAAGGGAGGTAATACTGATATTTTTTGTGCTAGAGTTATAAACCTTGTCACATATGATGTGGTTGATGACCAGAAACTTATATTTAAAGTTTGAAGTAAACACCTTAAGAAATAAAGAACATATAGTGAAAAAGCTGAAAAATTTAAATCAGAAATCTTGAAATTCAGGCTATTTGTTGCCATAGCAACCAGAATTTTCAACATAGGAAGAAAAGAAAAAGATGTGCATAATCTCCAGACTGCCATCTACCCATATTTCAAGTTTCATAAAAATATTTTCAGTACTTTTTGAGTTATCACTGGATCCAGTTTATGTGTTAAATTTGCCATATTTTCAGACTATTTGTTGCCATAGCAACCAGAATTTTCAACATAGGAAGAAAAAAAAAAGACGTGCATAATCTCCATACTGCCATCTATCCATATATCAAGTTTCATAAAAATATTTTCAGTACTTTTTGCGTTATCGCGGGATCCAGTTTTGTGGACGGACGGACTGACGGACTGACAGACTGACAGACAGACAGACGGACAGACGGACAGACGGACGGAGGGTAAACCTAAAGTCCCCTCCGGTTAAACCGGTAGGGGACTAATAACACTATTCTTAAATTCCCATATTATACAAAAAATGTTTATACTTCAAATAACAACTCATGTAAAGTCCTATGTTTCTAGAATTGACCCGCTTTTTAGACAAAACAAAAAAAAGGACAAAAGTCATCCTACATAAAGCAAAATTACTTGTAACTTTTTGTATGAAATGAAAAAAAATACAATGTACAACAATCCTTTTTAATATCAAAAAATTAAAAAAAAAGCATTCTAAATTCATCAAAAATTCCACAACCTGCCTACCAAATCCTTTTACAGACCGTTTTACCATAATTTTGCTGCCACTTTCAAGCAAATGTCAAATATATTCATTACAAAATGTCAGTTGACTTCAAAACTTTGTTCTCTTATAAATTATGCATACCATTTGCAGAGGGGGAAATCAGAAGCCTTTAACGTCGTAATTATTCATAGAAACATATCTGCATATCTCCTATTGCCAAGAAATAAACATATGCATACATACAAAAAAAAACAAAGAAAAACTGGAGATAAAAGGGTTGGTTTTTTTAATGCTATATAGACCAAATTTCAATGATACAAAATCTACTTTTACTAATATTTATAATAAAGTCTCTCTAAATTTTAAGCATGTCACTCAGTCACAAACAAAATCATAAGAAGTTTTTTCATAACCATTAAGTTGGCTGTAGAATGGTTCCAACAATCCCTTTCTAGTTTCAGACTTAAATATCGAGTACTATAAGCCCAGTCTATTTCTGTAAGAGCATTAAAATGATATTCATGTAAAATTTTCCCTTGATGATAAAATCAATGTTCTCTCCCATTTATTCCATCAGGAATACTCCCAGCTTTCCCTGCTCATTTGCATAAAAACAAAAAAACCCAATTAAGCAGATAACCAAACAAAAATACCATTTAAAATCTTGAGCCATCTCGTGTCATCCATCCACTGATCCCAGTAAGCCGTCGTCCAATCAAATTCACTAATATTGATCATGTGATACCCATCAATGTCAGAGCAGCCAATCAGCATGATTGTTACATTATACAAACAAATACCATTTCAATAATCACTTTAAGATCTTCTCGGTCATACACATAATATCAATAGAGAGCAAAGATTTCTAGAAAATTTATGGAACACTTCCAGGAAAATAGCCCTACTAAATTCAATACTGTAAGACCTCACCAAAAGAATCTGATACAATCATCTGGCAGCATACATCATGTTCCTACAGTGTCCACAAAGGGTTAAGGTGGTCTTACTGTAATGCTTTCCCGCCAAAAAAATTCTAAAAAATATTTAAGTCAATATTGTTATAATGAATACCAAAATACCAAAAAATACCGAAAATTGTGAAAATAACGTTCTGTCCATATATAACAAATTTATCATACAGCAAACTTCTTTTTCTAGAGAAAAAATTGAGATTTCTTCATAAATTGACAGCAGCCGTATATATAACACTATTATAAGCGTCACAATTAGCCAATGAAAAGTGATGCTACAAATTTGCAGGATTATATTGCATATATTTTATCATTCTCTTTAAAAAAATTTAAAAAATTTCCCCTTCTAATATCAATCAAACTATGTCGGCAAACCCTGATCCAATTTAATATCTCTTTCATTTTTTATTTATTTTCATGATAAAATATTTCTAAACATCTATCACATCTCTTCTTTATTACAAACCTGAACCACCCTGAACATGTGTCAAAATATGTTTGCTTATTCACCAAAAGGCAGACATATAAATCAAACTAAATGTATAATTATTAACTCATACACTTCTCATACCATTCAAAAAATGTCTCATTAAATAATACTATTTTTATTGACTGGTCTCCCAAAAATCAAATCACTCTAATGGAAGATAAACTATGAACCAGACTGTAGTCATAATTAAAGTACTTCCTCTTTGTCCACTTGTAGACTGGTATGGAAAATGAGAGAGAGCCAATTAATTAGGGACCAGTCCATCTATCACTACACTATTGTAACAAGGGCATGACCAGGAAAAGTCAACTGCTTTTGTTATAAAATTGTCAGCAAGGGGGAAAAACAGGCTTTCAAACAATGAACATACATGTACTATCTATATCAACATGTAATCATCTGTACAAAAATATGAGCCACGCCATGACAAAACCAACAGTGTTTGCGACCAGCTTGGATCCAGACCAGCCTGACAAACCCTATTACAAGTAGAGAAACTGATAGCCCACATCATGGATCCTAATCAGACAGGGCGGATGCGCAGGCTGGTCTGGATCCATGCTGATCACAAATTCATTAACTTGGTTTAGTCATGGCGCAGCTCTTATTATAAATATATAAAATGAAGCTTTCGAGGATTTTTTTCACCCTCTGCTTTAGAACTGTTAGCTGCAATAGGATTTCTACCACCTGACAGACAAACTAAACATATAACTAATACAAATGAGCAAGAATATACTTTAATATTTGCTATACACAAAATGCATTGCCTTGCCCGAATAGAGACAAACTAATACATTCTGACAAGGTTGGGAGGCCAGTGTTAAGTGGTTATACCGGTAGTTGGTAAATGTGTATCATTTTGCCCAGTGACTGTAACTGTTTTTTTATCCAGCAAAGTGCATAAAATACAGTCAATACTGCCTTAAGCAGCCAGCCAGAGAACTCCGAAAAAAGGCCTCTTTCTTTAAAATCATAGATTTCCCAAAAATCTGAAAATAAACCAGCTTTTTTTAACTTCCCAAATCAGCAATTTTTGCGATAATTTTTCCCAAAAATAAGAGGCTAAGACTTTTTTCCAATTAAGTGAGAAAAATCACTGGGTGGTTGCTTGATACATTAACTATGTTTGCAATATTTGTATTGGTTGCTGAAGACAGTTGGCCCTTTAATTCAGGTGGCCATTGTTACAGGTTGTTTTTTTGGTATTTTCCTTGGTGAAAGCTTTCTAGTAAGCATACAAGATGCTCACATCATTGTAATTGCTACAACATACAATTATTACATACCTCTGGCAGGAAACTTCAGACTGGTTCACACACTGTAACTTTAAATACTGACTTTCATTTACATGACTTCTTCGAAAACTTTAGTCAGTCTGAAATGAAAAATTAGTTAAAAGTTCTAAATGACAAAGAAAATGCATTTTTTCCGATAATAACATTGATTGTATACTTTTATTTGTATACTTTTGAAGGAAAGAATTATGACATCACAATACAGCGATCCAGCTCACGACTATGGCTAATACAGAATGACAACCGTACTCATTGAGATATAGAGAGTGGACCAGTATATTAGAGATACCTTTGGGTTTTCTTGACCGTACAAACCCAGAGGTACTTGTGTGACTTGGAGAACAATGGTTAACAGTAAATTCTCTTTGATCGTATTCATTCCGTTTTTACTTGTGTGTCTTTTCTAAGCCTTGTGTGACTTAAAATGGCTAAAAAGACCAAAGGAAAAGTCACATAAGTACCATCGTTAGTACGTCCATTTCAGCTTTTTATTGGTGACATTGAGTTCATAATTCTCACTAATATGTTTGATTTGACATTGGTGGCCTGTTTGTCCATACCGCCAGACCAGGCCCTATACTGTTGGCAGACTTACTTAAAATTCTAATTTTTATCTTGACATCCCCAAAATCAACAATGGAAAGTTCCAAATATACAAGCTGGACAAGTCCATTTATACAAGAAATTCAGCCATATGTTATACACAGACTCCATGTTGTTTTTCTTTAAGACAAAAATTATTGTGTTGCCAAAGAACAAAGCTAATTTATCTACTGTCCAGTAAATACAAAAATGCAATAATTTACTTGTGGGTTTTCAGAAAGCTTGCATACAGAAAATGTATACACCTAACTTGTATTCCTCTGATTATTTCCCAAAAGCAAATTCCAAGAAGCTTTATTTTCACTAGGGAGTTGTAATAAATTTCCTATTATATTAAAAACTGGACAAGAAAATTGAGGATTTTAGTTATTAATCAGAAAGGAAAAGTACAATAACCACTTTTGTTTCCTATGTGTAAAATACACTAATAAAACAATCTTGTTTTACTCTAACATTTGAAAAGGCTATAATTATAATTATTTAAATTTGTTGTTGTTTTTTCAGAAATCTCCAGAAAGATTTCAAAAAGTCAAAATCAAAATATTTGTTGATGTTTTCTTCGGATGTTTTTCTTTTCACTTTAATCTGTGGCAAATTTAAGAACAAACCAGCTCAGGTGAAGTAACTAAAAAACCATAGTTTACAATAATATAATTTTGGGCCTTTTTCTTAAAAGCCAAAATTGCTAGGGTTCTTTTTTTCTCTTTAATTCAATCTCTACCAAATTTAGGAACATGCCATTTCTGCCATCTGACGAAGTTAATAACTTAATACACATACTACAAACGCATACAAAAATCTATTTTTGGCCTAGAAAAAAAAATATAAAAGAAACAGCAAATTGTACAATTTTGATAATCTGTTGAAGATATGGTGAATACATTAAACAAGCCACTTGCTGTGTGAAGAATGTTACACTGTATATAAACCCGACATTTGATACAAACCACACAGAGCAAGGCTTTATCTAATTCATTTTATTCATTTAAACTGATATCAAGTTTGAAATGAAATATCCTCAGCTTCAGTAAACTGAGTTGCAACAGTAATGAAACATTTAAGATTTGTCTCCCTTTAGTTCACATCATTTCAGGCATGAACAATGGCACCCCCATTATTTGATTATCATATCCCTCACTAAGGCTGTATCCTAGGGAATCCTACTGTACACTATCTGAGCTTTAGTTTGCCACTGGTTGCGCATATGGGAAGAGAATAAGTCATTTTACATTTTTGGAGGATAGTGCAAGATACAGAAAGATGCGCCAATTCGAGAAGCTTCTACTGGTTCTGTAGCCTGCCAAGTGTATAAGCACTCATATTTAAAGTCCCATCTGAAAGACTGATATATAGTTGGCCAGCCCGGGAATCAGACCTACAATGTTAAGATTACAAGTCTCGTACCCTAACCGATTGAGCTATGCCGACTGGCTTTTGAGCTTTAATATCTGCTAGTTTACACTTACAGGAAATGAATAACAAACTTGGTATTGACTTTAAATTTTCATTATCTTTTATGCATTTCTAGACTAGAGAATATTTATACATTGATTTTAACCAGTGGCATATAATGATATACACGATAAAAACTATATACCCAATTTGGTTTCTATATCAAATCAACGCAAGGGAGACTTTTCTCTAATAATACAGCTAGACAGCCTTATATAATAAGGTAGACACATGAAACAGTACAGCTCAAAACTTATCATATTCTACAAATAAGTAACGTCCTTCAAATAATACTTAACAACATCAAATGGAGAGAAAAACTTAATCCCCCCAAAAATTATGCGACCAATTTTTGATCGCGTTCCAGAATCCCTTTTAAAGAAAACCCATCACTTTCAATAGAGCAAACAATTCAGAAACAATCAATTCAATAATCTGTCTTGGACGCTATTGCATGCTATTGGCTAATAGCGGGGATAAGACATAAAGGCGCTACATATACTAAATATACAGCGCAAGCAATATCAAGAATACTTAAATCATCCCTATAGACTTCAGGAACGAGTCTTTCAAAATTTCTAGTCAAGCTTTAGTCATTACACGTCTATTGATCCATTGAAGAAAGTTTCCATTCTCTTTTTTTTTCTTTCTTTTCACAATATTTATTATACAATTTTGAAATACAATTTAATTTTTTACCGCACCCTTGTTGAGAAATATTTAACATGTGTTCAATATCAGTGAAAGCTGTACATATCTCCTTTAGATTCTTATGAGAATCACAATAATAAACGGAACTACAGTTGAACTTCAATGTGTCGAACTTCGATAAGTCGATTATCCTGATGTGTCTGAGTAAAATGAAAGTCCCGTTTTTTCCCCACTGTCACAACATAGTATACATATCGAATATTTATGTGTCGATTTTTCAATGTGTCGAAAAAATTTTACATGGTCCGTAAAAAATAATTCGAGACTTCATTAAAAATTTTAGGGTCTATGTGAGATCAGAACCATAATTGAGTCGCGTCATGAGAAAACCAACATAATGAGTTTGCGTCCAGCATGGATCCAGACCAGCCTGCTCATCCGCGCAGTCTGATCAGGATCCATGCTGTTCGCTTACAAACCCTATAACAAGTAGAGAAACTGATAGTGAACAGCATGAATCCTGATCAGACTGAGCGGATGCGCAGGCTGGTCTGGATCCATGCTGGTCGCAAACCCATTTAATTATGTTGGTTTTGTCATCACGCGGCTCAATTTTGTTTTGAAATGCCTTAAAAATTGGGAGATCAAACAGATAACGCAGATAATTCTTCTAGACAGCAGTTCCATAATACCAACCCATTTTCATCAAATAATTGGGCAATTTTTCTGCACAACCAGAAAACACTATTACACTAATGGGTGAATATTTCTCAAAATTCAACATGAAAAGAGGCTTTCCTTTCACAGTTATGAGCCATTCTAAGACAAGATATGAACAGGTTTGTTTATAGATTGTTCTTAAAAGCATGTCAAGATTTTTTTTATAACACTCAAGAAGTTTCCTTTGAATTTTTTTTTAGCAAAAGTCAAGTTTCAAACATAAATTTGTCGCTATGGACTTTTTTTTCAACATTACATGGCAATAATTTGCACTTAATGTAGTGGGTAAGCAACTTTATTATAAAAGCGAATATGTTACTATCAGTTCAATAGTAAATACAACTTTATTACAAAAAAGCAAAAAATAAATTTTGATCAAATTCTGTTAACTTCTTGGCAATTACAATGTATATCAACTTTAGACTTTGCGCTGAGCAGATAGTTAATTTGCTGAAAAATAAAACAAAAACCAACAACTGCTAAAAAAACAAAACAAAAACCAACAACAACTGACCATAGTTCATCATTCCACGCTTCATTGGTAATGATAAACAGTGTAACAAATGTACGTCAAAACACTGATGAGCCGTATTACCTGTCAATCACACCTGTCAATCTATTTTATAAATATGCATCACTCATACAGGATCAAAACTCCTATCTATATATAACCAAATTATTATCACTGCACATTAAACCATTCACCTAATTCAAATTTACTTTGTATTTATAACAGTACTGTTTTTTTTATATATATTTTGAAATAATCCTACCATTATTATCACTGCATATTAAACCATTCACCTAATTCAAATTTACTTTGTATTTATAACAGTACTGGGTTATTTTTTTAACTTTTTAAATAATCTATGAATTAAAATTATGTATCTTCCATTTCAAAATAGATATATTGAAACTTTCTGAACAACCATTCACCTTATTCAAATTTACATTGGATTTATAACAGTAGTTAGTACTGTTTTTTTTATTATTATTATTATTTTAAAGAAACCTACCTATAAATTAAAATAACGTATCTTCCGTATTAAAGTAGATATATTGAAACTTTCTGAATAAGGAAATTAAACTCGTTTAAACATTGGTCATTAAACATCATTACCCTGACCTACTTACACCAGAAGGAAATTTTCCCCTTTCCTATATTATTTATACATGTATGTACTTATGATCTTAGCGGCTTTAGCAAAAAGGGGAATATGTAAAACAATCACTTATAAAAAACAAAGGAAGTTTGAAGATTTGGGATCTTTTTGTTCTGTTGAAAGGATGGAGGTTGAAATTTGTTTCATATAGACATACTAAAACATTTTACTCAACAAAAACTACTAACAAGTGCATCTAGGACCAGTGTTTTTTCTCTCTTACCAGTTATTGAGAAAAGGCCTTAGCCTCTTGATCTGGGAAAACTTATCGTTAAAATTGCTAATTTGGGAAGTGAAAAAGTTGATGTATTTAAAGTTTATATTTTTGGAAGAACTGCATGATTTAAAACTTAAGAATTTCCATTGGGAAGAGGCCTTTTATTATAGGTCTCTTGTTATTATAGGGTGAAAACTAACGAAGATTTACTTTATTTTATAGTATACTAAAACTATCCATTAATCATGCTCATCATGATCAGGGAAGTAACATG